GAATAAGGAAGACCAAAGAAGAGTTGATGCTTTGAGTTGTGGTGTTGGCGAAAAATACTGAAAGTATCATGGATTGCCAGAAAAGCAAACAAATTGCCCTGGAAGAAATACAGCCACAACGCTTCTGGGCAGTGAGAATGGCCAGACTTCATCTCACCTACTTTGGTCGTGTTGTCAGAAGGAACCATTCTCTGGAGAAGGGTATCATGCTTGGTAAAGTGGAGGGTCAATGAAAAAGGGGAATGCCCTCAACAAGATGGATCGACAGTGGCTGCAAAGATGGGCTCAGGTACAGCCCAGACTGTGAAGCTGATGCAGGACCAGGTGGTGTTTTGTTTTGTTGTCCATGGGTTGCTATGAGTTGGAGCCTACTCGATGGCACCTAACAACAACAACAACATATGCTTACTATTTTTTGTTATGACAATCTGAGATAGACCTCTTCACCTTAATGTCTAAAATTAAAAAAAAAAAAATCTGATTTCCAAATTTCAGGATAGGGAAACCATCTTATTTTAATTATGGAATTCTTGTTTTTGTACAACATTCAATGACAAATGACAGTCTTTTCCTAGTTTTGTCTCCAAGTCATCTTATGTTAACTCTGTGATTCTAACTAAAACATGCTTCCAATACCTTCTTCTACATCAACTAATAATTCATCCATCTCAATTATTCCTCTCTCCTGATACTTAAAAGATACCATTATAGCTTATTGTCCTTTTTATCTCCCACGTTCTCCTTCCTTCCTAGATCAAGTCTTGCTCCCTCTGGGATCAGCATAAATTTGCCCCAGTCCCCACTTTTCTAGCACTGCTACAGTATACTGTCAGTTCTTTTTGCTTCAATCACAAAATAGGAAGGAATTATCTATTATTAGGCACTGGGATGGGCAGTAATTCAGAATAATTTAATTCAAGAATTAATTTTACATACTGAGAAATCAAGGGTCCAAGGGGCTTATGAACTTGACTAGGATTACACTGCTCAGTATGCAAACTCTGAATGCAGGTATTTCTAACTCTAAAGCCCTGCCTTCGTCTCCTTTC